CAGCGTGGCTCAGGAACTCCTCGCACAGCTCCTCAGGCGGCTCTTCCAGCTGCAACAGCATCTCCACACACTCGGTGAGTTCCTTGGGGTCCAAGGTGTCATCCCTGGGGGTGGGGGGAGTGAGGGGGTTATTTGGGGACGGTGGGATGTTCCGGGGGTAACAGTGGCACCGCAAGAAAGCAGGGAATACGCAATAGAAGTCATCAGTGTGCTACAGAGCAAAGAGTAATTATGCAAAAAGCAAAGGGGGGGAAAGTAATAGCACCAGTACGTTCCAAAATTAACAGTGGTTATAGTAATAAAAAACTCACTAAAGATCATCAGTAGGTTTCAGTTTATAATAATAATAATCAAAAATCACTAAAACTCCTCAGTAGGTTCCAGAAATACCCCTTTACCATAAACGCATGAGAAACCCCCCTATAACGTAGCCTTTACAAAGCCCTCAGGAGTGGTCAGAACTATCCCCCTTACTCTACAAACGTTCTGCACAAGGGATGGTTCCTGGGGTTGCTCCAGGGTAAACGCCCCTCTCCCTCGGATGGTTCTTGGGGGCTGTTATCATTAGGCTCCAGATTTAACACCCCTGACCCCTTGAAAAGCTGTTTCCCGCAGCTGCTATCAGTAGGTTTCAGCGCTAATGTACTACACTCACCATCACACCCCCAAGAAGGCTGTTTACAGGAATGGCTATCGTTAGTCTCCCAAGTAAACCCACCCCTGCACTGTTTCCCAGAGCTGTCATCAGTAGGTTCCAGAGTGAACATCCCCCAAACCCCATTTCCCAGAGCTGCCCTCAGCAGGCTCCAGAGTGAACGTACCGCAGGCGTGCGCGGAGGCGCTGGGCCAGGTCGGCCATGATGGCATGGCTCTCATCCTCGATGGCACGGAAGGAGGGCAGGTGGCGGTAGTGACGGAGCACGGCACGGGCACGGGCGTGGCAGCGCAGGGCCCGCGCAGGCTCTGCCCCCGGCGCTGCCCACCGCCGCAGCCGCCCCGGCACCTCCACCAGGCACTGCAGCTTCCGCAGCAGCGCCCTCACCCCCG